ACAAAAATCCTCACAACTGGACCAATAAGCAACATCATGATAAATGGAGAAAAGATTGAAGTCGTCAAGGATTTCATTTTACTTGGATCCACATTCAACACCCATGGATGCAGCAGTCAAGAAATCAAACAACACACTGCATTGGGCAAGTCTGCTGCAAAAGACCTCCTTAAAGTGTTAAAAAGCAAAGATATCACTTTAAGGACTAAGGTGCCCCTGACCCAAGCCATGGTGTTTTCAATCGCTTCATATGCATATGAAAGCTGGACAATGAATAAGGAAAACTGAAGAAGAACTGATGTCTTTGAATTATGGCATTGGCGAAGAATATTGAATGTACTATGGACTGCCAGTTGAACAAACAAATCTGTCTTCGACGTACAGCCAGAATGCTCATTAGAAGCATTCGTCTCACATACTTCGAACACGTTGTCAGGAGGGACCAGTCCCTGGAGAAGGACATCATGCTTGGTAAAGTAGAGGGTCAGTGGAAAAAGAGGAAGACCCTCAACGAGATGGACTGACACAACGGCTGCAACAATGGGCTCAAGCATAACAACGATTGTGAGGATGGTGCAGGACTGGGCTGTGTTTTGTTCTGTTGTACACTGGGTCTCTGTGAGTTGGGACCAATTCGACCGTACCTAACAACAACACAATACAACATAGGTGAACCTTGAAAATAGTATGCGAAGTGAAAGAAACCAATCGCAAAAGGCCATACGTTGTATGATTCCATTTTTATGAAATGTCCAGAACTGGCAGATCTATAAAGACAGAAAACAGTGGGTGCCCAGAGCCTGGGGGTTTGTAGAGTAATGGGAGTGACCACTAATGGGTATGAGATTTCTTTTTAGGGGGATGGTTTCTATGTATTTCTTCCCTTTAAAGAAGAACCATTTAGTGATTGATGACAAAGAAAATACACAATTGCAGCAAGAGTGCGTAGATGTGATTAATCACCATAAATCTTTATAAGACCAAGTATGAGGTCCTTATTTTGAGAGACTGTATTGAAGGGAAGTGAGAGATGGTGTGGGCAGTACATCAGGGGTCTACCATTCTGCTCCTCCATAAATCACCAATTCTGACATTGTCAGAGAAGGAAAAACAAAAACTTGACCAACAATAGGCTTAGCATGACAGGTGTTGTATCACCAATGAAAGGTCCTCCATTACCTGCTGGGGCCTTGGTGTCAGCTTTCTTGCTCTCCTGGCTCCCCTTCTGGGCCCACACCTTCACTGTATACTCCACACCTGGCCTCAGGTCCGTCAGCTCCGTGCTGTTCTGATTCTTCCCCACTGGAATCTCCTTAGTCTCTCCATTGGCAGAGGTGTAGCTCACTATGTACCTGTCAATGGCGGCCTGCACTGGGTCCCAGGAAATGGTGACCGTGTTCTCTGTCACCCTGTCTGTCACCAGGTTTTTGGGGCTGTCAATGTCTGAAAGGAAAATGTTGATCAATAAACACTATCAATAGGCACCAAGGAGTCAGATCTTGTGTCCATTTCACTGGGGGTGAGACAATTTCCTGTTCTTGTGGTTTTTCCCATCTCATATGCTGTTGTTGGTGTTCAGTTGTTTCATGGACAGACCTTGTCTCCATAGCTGGACTCTTGGATTCTCAAGCAGGCAGCATAGGAGAGGAGAATGAGCACTTGATTCAGAGTCAGAAGAGCTGGTTCTAGTCCCAGCCTAAAGAGTCAGAGCAGAGGAGCAGGAGGAGCCCTGGGCTGGAGCCAGGGGACCAGGGATCTAGTCCCAGCTCTGCTGTCAGCCAGCTATGGCCCAGGACAACTCAGCTGCCTCTGGGTGGGCTTCAGTTTCCTCATCTATAAAATGTGGAGCTTACATAGATTTTGATGCCACAATATTCCATGAATATTCCATGAATCTAATGCTATAAAATATTAGCTAACTTTGTGACCTTACAGAACTCACTCACTTCTCTGTTTTTTTAGATTTCTCATCTGAAAAATGGGATATTGATTCCTGCTCTACTCATCTCAAGACAAAGTCCTCTGAAGACCAAGTAAATGAGGAAAAAGCCCTCGTCCATTGCTGGTTGAATGTAAAGTGGTGCAACTGTTTTAGAAAACAGTTTGGCAGTTCCTCAAAACGTTAAACATAGAGTTACAAAAACATCCTGCAAGTGTACTCCTAAGTGGATACTCTAGAGAAATGAAAACAGATGTCCACATAAAAACTTGTACACAAATATTCACAGCAGCATTATTCATGATAACTAAAAAACAAAAACAATCCAAATGTCCATCAACTGATGAATGGATAAATAAAATGTGGTATTTCCATACAATAAAATATTATTTGGCAATAAAAAGGAATAAAGTACAGACACACACTACAACATGGGTGAACCTTGAAAATAGTATGCTAAGTGAAAGAATTCAGTACAAAAGGCCGTATGTTGTATGATTACATTTTTTTTTTAATGTCCAGAATTGGCAAAGGTATAGACACAGAAAGTAATAGGTGCCCAGGAGCTAGGGAAGTGACCACTAATGGGTATGAGATTTCTTTTTGGGGTGATGAAAATGTTCTAAAATTAGTGGCGATGGTTACACACTCTGTGAATATGCTAAAACCATGGAATTGTACATTTTTTGGTACAGCTGTTATTAAAAATGAGGAAACATATGAAAGAGCTTTAAAAATTATGAACTGTTACTATATATAAGTACAAGCTTAGAATCTTCAATATTGGGCACATAGTAGGTATTCAAGAGAGGATTTATTCACTAAGAAGACAATAAACTTTCCTTATTCTAAAGAGTTCATAGCAAAAGGAATTTCTCTAAAGTACTTAGCTCACAGATCCTAACATATAGGGTTTCTATATATTTCCTTCCTTTAAGGAAGAACACTTAGTGATTGATGACAAAGAAAATACACAATTGCAGCAAGAGTGGGTAGATGTGACCAATCACCATTAATCTTTACCAGACCAAGTATTAGGCCAAATATAAGGTCTTTATTTTGAGAGACTGTATTGAAGGGAAGTGAGAGATGGTGTGGGCAGTACGTCAGAGGTCTACCATCCTGCTCCTCCATAAATCATCAATTCTGACATTGTCAGAGAAGGAAAACAAAAACTTGACCAACTATAGGCTTAGCATGACAGGTGTTACATCACCAATGAAAGGTGCTCCATTACCTGTTGGGGCCTTGGTGTCAGCTTTCTTGCTCTCTTGGCTCCCCTTCTGGGCCCACACCTTCACTGTGTACTCCACACCTGGCCTCAGGTCCGTCAGCTCCGTGCTGTTCTGATCCTTCCCCACTGGAACCTCCTTAGTCTCTCCATCGGCAGAGGTGTAGCTCACCATGTACCTGTCAATGACAGCCTGCACTGGGTCCCAGGAGATGGTGGCCGTGTTCTCTGTCACCCTGTCTGTCACCAGGTTTCGGGGGCTGTCAATGTCTGAAAGGAAAATGTTGATCAATAAACACTATTAACAGGCACCAAAGAGTCAGATCTTGTGTCCACTTCACTGGGGGTGAGACCATTTCCTTTCTTGTGGTTTTTCCCATCTCATGTGCTGTTGTTGGTGTTCAGTTGTTTCCGGACAGAGACATTATCTCCATAGCCAGACTCTTGGATCCTCAAGTGCAGCACCGGAGAGGAGAATGAGCATGAGATCCAGAGTCAGAGGAGCTGGTTCTAGTCCCAGCCGAGAGAGTCAGAGCAGAGGGGCAGGAGGAGCCCTGGGCTGGAGCCAGGGGACCAGGGATCTAGTCCTAGCTCTGCTTTCAGCCAGCTGTGGCCCTGGATAACTTAGCTGCCTCTAGACGTGCCTCGGTTTCCTTATCTGTAAAATGTGGAGCTCTGGCCGGTGGGAATTCAAGTTTCCTTTAAGCATTAATATTCCATGCATCTAATTTCATAAATTAAACTTGTTTCGTGACTTTGAATAAGTCACTTCCCTTCTCTGTGTTTGAGTTTCTTACTTGTAAAATGGATTTGTTAATAGTTAATGTATATATCTCTCTGGGTTGCACTGAAAACCAATACAAACTGTCACATAAAAGGGGGCTTTGATAATGTTAAAGCATTATAGTGTTTACAGAGCTGAATCCACATGTGTGTTTGAATATTCAATCCACACTTCAAAGTATAATCAAGGGAAAATTAGCCTTTCTGCCTCAATTTCCTCCACAGCCAAAAAAGAGAGAGGGAGTGAGATAGTAACAGTACATATCAGAAGCCTAGGGGACAGTGAGTTGAAGATAATGGTGATGGAATAATTTGGAAAAGGATAGTGAGAACAGCAGCACAACTGGAAGAATGTAATCAATGTCACTGAATTGTACATGCAGAAACTTTTGAAATGGTGTAACTTTGGCTATGTATATTTTCACCAAAAAAAAAAAGGTCCTCCAAGGTCAAGAAGAAAGAGTATTGACATGTCATGTGGTTGTTAACCAATGTCATAAAACAATATGTGTACTGACTGTTTAATGAGAAACTATTTGTTCTGTAAACCTTCATCTAAAGCACAATTTAAAAAAATTTTTTAAATAATAGTACATATAGTATCCCGTAGAGTTGTATTATATGAGTTAATAACATGTAAAGCCCTTAGAACATTTCCTGGCACAGAACAGATGCTCAGTGACCATAGGCCATATTATTAATGATATCATTTTTGTTGTTTTTACATAAATGCAAGAGATTATGCTCCTCCATACCATGCACATAGAAGGTGCTCAAAAGTGTATTACCAAGAAAATAACACTTCTTTGTTCCAAATAGTTCACTGCAAAAGCCATTTCCCTAAAATAATTTGTTCACAGATGCTAAAGTGGGACCATTCTTGTCTTGGTTTAGGCTGTGACCCCCCAAAAATTGATGACTATGTTCCAACATGAGGGCCGACAACCAAGGCAGGACCAGTAGTTCTGTGACCCCTGGCTGATCAGTGACCTCCAGCTTATAAAAGAGGTTGGAGATGCCAAAAAGGTGGGACTTAAACAGTTAATTTCTTTGGAGAGAGTTATACATGGGTGGAAACCAAGCCTCAAATAAGTAATTTCAATGGGATCACTTACAGAGCTTTTTATATATACCCTAGAGCGGTGAGTTTCAACTGGGGTGACTGACAATGTTTGCAGACTTTTGGTTTTCACAACTGGGGGGATGCTACTGGCATCTAGTAGGTAAAAGCTCAAGGTGCTGCTAAACATCCTGTAATGCTCAGGATATCCCCCACTACAAAGAATTATCTGACCTAAAATGTCAGTAGTACTGAGGTTGAGAAACCCTGACCTAGAGCTTGAGGAACATAATGGGGCTGGTGCCTAATACATGCCCGAAGATACTAAGAGGTGAGAATATAGCTGGTTGTTCAGATACAAAGCAAGAGAGACTACAGCATTGCAAAAGACCTGTAAATCTAGTTGAGTGGGCAAAGAATGCATGAGTTTTCCCAGGGACCATATGTGGGTCAAGCAAAGAAGAGTGACCTGGGGTGGTTTTAGAAGCTGTCCAAGAGGATCACCTGCAGGGGTGAGGTGAAGCCACCATAAAAAAGGCTGAGAGGAAAGGGACTAGGAGGAAAGATGCATTTGTCCACAGAATCACTACAGTGAGATCCTCAAAAGAGGTGTTTCAGAAGAACCCACAGAAGTGCTCTATTACCAGGTCCCATGAGAGGCCCAAGCCAGCTGTGACTATCAGTCAAGTAAAACCTTCCATGACCCCTTACCTCTCCTTTCTCCTGATTTCTTCCTCTCCTCCCTCCTGACCCCTACCTCTCCTCCCTCCTGACCCCTACCTCTCCTCC